ACTGAACATGGGGTCACCGTCCCCAGAACAGGGACCCTTAAAGCTCGGATCCCGCCCCCTTGGGAAAAGCTGTCCAATGTATGCCAGGCTCTCACGGTTCCCACCAATCAGAAAAGCCAGGAAGGGGCGGGGCCAAGGAGTCGACCTATGGTCGGAAGTGGGGTTAAGTGTGTCCCAGGCCCGGGGTGGAAGAAAACGTATAAAATCTAACACTTCTTCATTTCCTCCGTATCTGTCATGGTGTTATTTGCGACTTAGCAAAAATAAAGAGAAAGTTTTCTTAGCACGATTTCCATAGCTCAGCATTCTGGACCATTCCAATTTTAAGTGATAATGGAAGAGTAAGGCGGGGTAGAAGAAATAAAAGACAGGTAGAAAGGAAACAGGGGAAGGGGTGATTTTTAAATTGCACTTTTAAGAAAGCTGCAGCTTCAAGGCACAGAATTGCCCAAGGTTATAATTTCTCATTATAAGACATTTAGCCCCAAATTTTTTTCCTAAGTCTTAAAAAATATACAGTAAGCCTGCAAAATGGGCACTTCCTACTTCTCACCTATACACTGTGCCCAGCTCTTCTACAGATTGGCAAATTCCAGACTTCCACCCCTCCAAACACATAATGTCCCCATCTGGGCCATAACACACCTCACCCACCGAGCGGCCTTCCATGTTTTGCTTTCTGCCTGATAAATCTTTTCTCTTTTCTTTTCTTTTCTTGGTATAGGGGTCAAACTCAGGACCTTGTGCTTGTGAGGCAGGCGTGGTCCCACTGAGCTAAATCCCCGGCCCTGATAAATCTATCCCTCTCCTGATGAATCCTAAAAATTCTTTTTCTGTGGCAGAAGTAGGTGAATCTACTCCACAGGTGTGAGCTGAGCCCCCATCTCCTCTTGGGGGTGACCTCCTTGGGCCCCACGCAGGGACCCCAGCACTGAGTCGGGAAGTAGAATTACTGGAGCCACAGTTCACATTTCAGACTCGCATCTGCTTCCCACCGGAGCTTCTCGGAGCTGCAGGAAAGCAACTCATTTCATTCACTTCCTGCGGGTTCCAAGATCTCCGAACCAGGTGTCAGTCCTTACAGGCCAAAGTGTGCAGTCCACACCAGGGCTGGCCCCAGAGGAACGCATTTCCAGACAACAACACAGGGTACGAAGCAAGCACAGGACCTTCTATCCCGGGGGATGCATGAGACCTCCAAGCCTGCAGTGAAGCCCTGGAAAATCCTATGTACTCAGCTAAATTCGAAAAGCAGCTTCAACATAGTTTACGTAAAAAGAGGTTTCAGCTTTTATTAAAAACAGACTTGGGCATTTAAGGAAGGTTGGAAGGAAAACTACAGATTGCTAGCAAGATCAACATCAGGGGCCCTTGATGTGCCACCTGTCCCCTCCCCACGAAGCCCCAGTGCCTCTCCAGCCCTGAGGCCAGGTCGAAGGTGATGAGACAGCTCATCAAGATGTCACCTCAGCTCTTAAAGCTTTAAGGACAAAAACCAAAATCAAGACAAGAAGATAAGCAGCAAGGATACAGAAACGCTTCATTAGCACTTGATTTCATCCTTCAAAAAGAACATGGGACTGATTAAGAACGCAGTGACTGATGAAGAACGATTATGTTGCTTATGATGGGGACGAAGGTGGCAGCAGCCAACCCCACCCCTGTGCAACTTCGGCATCCACACAGCCTTTGTCCATTAAGCCTGTGACAACCAGAGCTCAGGGAAACTGAGGCCCAGGGAAACGGAAGCCCCCCAAGACCACTGACCCAGAGCCAGGCGGGAACTCGGTCTCCCAGACCAGGTTTGGGAGCTGCACCCTGGGCTTGGCAACCTTCACAGGAATGAAATCAAAGAGGTGAACCTGGAGGCTACCAGCTACCTGGGTTCCCCGAATCTCCAGTCTGCTGCAGGATCTGAGGCAGCCTTGGGGTTCCCCAGACTTGCTTCAAGGTGGGGGGAGGGGGCGCTGTGGGCCTCAAGGAACAGACCTGGCTCAAAGTGCACTGTTGGAAGCTCAGTGCTAGTGTAACTAGAATTCTGGAGGTGGACAGGACACCCTCACTCCTCCGCATCCGTGTCCCAAGAGGGAGGACTGCAGCTCTCTTACTTCCCACTCCACCTCTGACTGACTCCCACGTGCACTCTGGATCCAGTCCCTGCCAAAGAGAGGACATCACCCTGGGACCAACCAGAACCCGCTGTGGCCCAGGTCCCTTTCCAGGACCATGCATGCACTGTGTGGGGGGAGGGAGACAGGTGCTGGATCGGGAGACGGCTGCCCCAGGGGTACTGGTTCCCGAGTGCTAGGTCTTCCCTCTCCAGTGCGGGTCAGGCTCAGGCAGAGAACTGGTATCCAGGAGCCGCTGAAGTTGATTCCCCTCCAGGGAAACTGCCCGGGTGCCAGATTCAGATCCACCCACGGCCTTGCTCCTTGGAGGGCCCTGCTATCAACACCTGCCTCGCTCATGCTGGAGCTGAGCTCCAGCCCCACCGTCAGGAGCATCCTTTCTGGGAACACTGGCTCTCCAGCTTCCTCACTTCCCTGGGTCCCTTCCCCCCAGATCCCCCCACTGTCGTAAGAGTCTCTACTTCACTGCTCACCCCACACCCCCAAGTTCAGTGTGCGCTGCACCCACACCTAAAGATCCCAACAACCTTCAATACAGCTGAGCTCAGCTGAAACTGAGCACAAGAAGAACCCTGCCCAAGCTGTCCTGACTAACTCACAACAAGGTGTGAATGACTAACAGGATCTTATGGAGCTGGCAAAGATGATTTCTGACTGAGGCCAGGAAGGGTTCCTATGAGTCAGCAAAGAGGAGGCGGGAGGGAGGTTCCAGGCAGAGCAACTGCCAGTGCAAGACCCTGAGACCAGAAAGAAAATGCTTCACCCAACCAGGAAATTGCACCCCTGAATTTTGGCAAACTGAATTTCAACATCCACTGCTCATTCCCGCTCTTCCGGTTATATGACGGACTATAACAGTGCCATTTATTGAATGTGTTCCACAGGCTAAGTCGTCTAAGTTCTATGCCACATACTTTCTACCTCAGCACAATCACCAACTATCTGAACAATCCCCGGAGAAAAGTGAGTATTATTGCTCCCTTTATCAAGAAAAAAAGCAGGACTGGGACTTTAGCTCAGTGGTTCCGGCACCTGCCTCGAAAGCTCAAGGTCCAGAGTTCAATCCCCCCCCCCAAAAAAGTCATCCTTTAAAAAAAAAAAGAAAGAAAGCAAAGCTCAGAGAGGTTTAGTAATCTGCCCAAGGTAACACAGCCAGTGGAATCAAAGGCAGAATTTTAACACATGTTTGTCTGACATAGGTCAGGTCCGTGACCTATCTCATGCTCAGAGCATAAAATACACTCGAGATACAACAGTGTGAACACCAAGTCCATATAGGGAGGCCAGAATCTTCACTGAATCCTGACAGTTACTGCTGCCTGTTCTCGACTCTGGCCTCCTGAGCTGGTTCCTCTCTGTGTCCCCAGCACCTGAGCCTCCGTCCTTCGTCCTTCATCGTGAGCCCTGGAGTGGGAGGGCCGGGCACCCTGTGGTGCTCAACACCCTGGGCCTCCTTCCCATGAACTCTGACCAGAGACTCCGGACGCTAGTGTGGGGCGCAGGAGCTTCTTACCCGCGCCTGATTCACAGACGGGGAAACTGAGCCTCGCTGGGGTCGCGGGGCTCCTTGCCAGAGTGCAGGCTGCAGGGGATAGGGAACCCGCAGCTCTGCGCCTGAGGGTGCTCGGGAAGCCTGAGCCCTCACCCCCCGCCGTGTTCCCTGCTAGGAGCTGGCGGACTTATGGGGGGGGGGGGGCTGCCCAGGGCCGAAAGGGATTCGCGTCTGGAAACGCACTGAAGGTCGGCGCGAGCTTTGTGTCCAGTGCGCCGAGGCCAACGGGCACCTGCCGGCAGCCGAGGCCTCCTCCGGCCCCACCCCGGACACGCGATCTGCTCCCCCTCACTAAGCCGGCGACAAAGAGCAGAGCTCGGCCGTCCGCGTGGCTCCCGTCCCTGTCCGGGTCCCCGTCCCAGCCCCAGCGGCCCCGCTCCTCCCGCGCCCGCAGCGAGCGTGACTCAGCGGTTCTGCTCCGCACCGGCTCGCCCGGCGAACGCGGCCTCGGGGAGGCGGGTGGGGAGCGCGGCCACGGAGCGGGCCCACGCGGGTCCCTGGCTCGGCCACCCAGGAGCGCCAGCCGGCGGGACCTGGGCCAGCCCCTCCCCCGGGGCCTCTGCAAAACCCACCGTGCCGGGACCAGGCCGGGGGGTGCCCCCTCCCCGCACCGGAGGTCGCGGCACGAGTGCCCCCAGCGCTGCGGCCCGCGCGGCAGGGTCCCCGCAGCCTCCACGGGGGTCCCTCGCGCCCCGGCTGCGCCCCGGCCTGGCCGAGCAGAGGGACCCCAGAAGTTCTGGACCTCGGGCGGGCGAGGGGCGCGGAGGCTCCGGGTCCCGTCAGCCTTGGGTGGGGGCTGGGCGGAACGAGCAACTTGGGGCGTTCGGGGCGCGGGGCCTGTCCGGGCGGCACAGCCCACTTTTCTGGGAGCCCTGAGGGGGAGGGCGGCCACTCCCGTCCCGGCCCGACTCCCTAGGAATCGAAGCGGGCCCAGGCCGGGAGCGCCTCTGGGGGACCTGGCGATAGATTTCATTAATTTATTTTCTATCTTTATTTTTCTGGGTCCCTCTTCGTCTCCAGGGAGTGGGCGGCCCCAGCTCCGGGGCCAAGCCAAGGTCTGCAAGAGAAGGGCGCAGCAGGGCCTCTGGAAAAGGATGCCACGGGCGGGCGCTGCCCGGAGGGCGGCGCGGAGGAGGGCGCGGGGCGGCAGGGTCGGTTCGGGGCCCCCTCCCTCCCTTCCGGGCCGGGCGGGTGGGTGACGGGGTGGGGCGGGGGCACAAGACACACGCGCGCGGTCCAAACCTTCGGAGGGCATTCGGTGCGACGGCATCCCCACGCCGCGGCAGGCCGGAGGGGGTCTCAGACTACACGTACGTTACCTTCGGTCACATAGCTGTGGTCCCGCAGGAAGCTGTGGTTAATTTTCCGCGTGTCCGTGTCCTCGCCCATTGAAGGCCGTGCCCGGTGCCCTGGGCATGCCCCGCCGCCGCGCACCGATGCAATCCGCAGAGGTCGCGCCGGGCGCGCGGGCCATGCCGCCGCAGCCTAGCAGGGGCGCGGGCCGCCGGGGCCCCGAGGGACGGGCATCGCG